TATATATTTATATACTATTTTAATAATAAATAAATAATGATATAATAGGTAATAGGTGCAATGTTTTCGACTAAAAATTAATTCAAACATATTAGTAATAATAAAATAAATTACTATAATATAGGAATTCAAATGTTAGGTAAACAATAAAATATACTTAGTAATATAAACTGACAGAYCGTCATTTCAGGACCGTTTTTCGTATGCCATTATTTGTCATTGAATTCTAATTTAACAAATCCATTACATGCAGTGACCTACTCAATGTCAAGGTATACTCGACACCTCATGTATGAATACGCGTGCGAAAAACGACCGACTATGAACGCTGTTAAACAAGCAATCGCCTACTTTCCCAATTTTTTTGTTTTTATTATAATACCTCAAGTTTTAAAGTTATACCAAATAACCATAAACACTATAGATATATATATTATTATAATTATGTAATACTACAGTACTAAGCTAAACTAGTACTGGGCTTTGTGCAAAATCATCTTTTGAGTTTAATTTTGGAACTTAATATAATACGATATACCTTAGTRTAATTTGATTAACTTAATCAAGTGACTTATCCAGATCTAGATTTGGAGTTATTGAGTGTACTATAGAAAGGGGTTCCGGCTAATTTAATTATTTTACGGTTAATACAGAATAATTTATTCAAAATAGATATTACATAAGGTGCATATTAAAAACTGACAAAGTTAATCTGCTGCTGAATAGGTTATAATTGTGTATTTAAATTTTAAGGAAAGTGGTTTTTTTTATTTTTTTATTTTTGTATATTGTTTTTATTTCCTACAATTATCAATACTACATTCTATATTTAATAATTTGTCGCCATTATTATAATATACTATAAATCCGTTACCTATATCATTAGCATAAATGTTATAGCCTTATTAAATATCGAAAGTGATTTAACCTCCATCTTCAATTATTTTAATAATATATATTATTTTCACACGATCAACTGGATAAAAATCCAAGGTTTCTAAAAACTAAAAGTTTAAATTATTATCATTATTTATAGTCATTTCATAACATTTTTTT